TAGATCCGTTTCTTTGAACAGATAATATTAACATATTCGGTGGAAAAAGAGGGGAGGGAAACTCCTCCTTGCAAAGGGTTCAAAGAGTCATGTGAATGTTTTTTTACATCCTCTCTGAATGATTATTCTCCTTGCGATTTTTCAACAGTACAAACTTGGAAATGGATTTTTGTGGACTGGCCTTAACTGGATTTAATATTCCTTAAAATATTTTATCAATTCTGATATATGTATACGAATCGAACGATCGCATCTTTCTCAAGAATTTTCTCACATTCATCCCTCTTCGAATTTCGATCCATCTCAATTCCTAAAATTCGAACTTTTATCCGCGATAAATAATTTAAAAATATTACAATTTAATTTAATACAATTTAGAAATCGAATTCACATTTTTTTTTTTTTTTAAATATAAAACTATCATCCTTTATTATCAAATTTTCTCGATGAAATTGCGTTCCATCCTCTTTCTTCCACGCACATTCTCACTTGTTCGCCCATAATCTGCCTCATCGCGAGAAAACATGGTAACAAAGCATACAATCGCAGAGAAATTAATTTCTAAACCGAGAGCTTCTTTCGTGGAAATTCTGTTCTTCTTCCCTTCGCTCTATCGCTATCCGCAGACTTTGATTGATTCTGCGAGGCTTTCCGACATATCGACGGCTTGTTTATCGAAGCCAGAAGAAATAAATTGGCTGGCCAAGTTCGTATAGAAGTTTCACGGAAGAGAAGCTTGGCCTTGTTCACCGCCAATTTCGATTTAATCGGCTCGCACAGCTGCTCGTCCGACTTTTGCTAAGACTTTTGAGAGAGCCACGCGTTGATTTCCACCAATTTCGATTCGAAGCACGCGGCTCTGACTTTGGAATAGTCCCTGGAATAATCTTTGATTCGTCGAAACTTCTTTTATATTAATATAATATCTTGATATCATCTTTCATTTGACCAGAGTTTTAGAAAAATTAAAAAAGAAATAAAAAAAATGAAACGAAACATTTTAATCCATTTTTGTGGTTTAATGAGCTGTGTATTGAAATTTATATGATTATCATTTCGTATGCAATTTTCGAAGCAGGGTTAATTGAAGTTTATATGCGTTCGATTTTAATTAAACCTTGCAATTGATTTAACAAATATACTAGAATGGTCGATCGTTAAATGCAGTAGATTTTATCCAATAAATATAAACGAGGCAGAATTGACGTAAATTTTACTTCGAAATGGAACGAATTATTTCAATCTTTTATCATCTTTTTTATTTCAAAACTGTAGCAAATTATCATCTTTTTTTATTTCAAAACTGTAGCAACGATTTATATCGGATAATTATATCGAGAGATATCGAGAGATATCGAAAGATAATAGATCAATAAGACGTTAATTAATTACATTGCTTCAAAAAAAAAAAAGAGAGAAAAGAATATTCGAAATCCGTCATTTTACACAACCTTCTCACACTCTCCATCAACTCTCACAAAACATACATTCATCTCACCCTCTCTGATCGCCGATTTCAATTCCAAAAAAATCTTAGCCGAATATCATCGATAACCGATCTCTTTTTTCCAAACTTCTTCTGAGAAATCCAAGCAAAACTTTTATTACGAACCAACTTCCCATCCCTAAATAACAAATGACCACCACGGATAGCCTCCTGGAATGGATCTTCGAGAAAAATGGTTTCTCGAGGGCGAACAAATGGCGGCGTGGAACTTGAATGGTCACGTGTTTCGAAATAATCTCGAAAGACGCGAAACATCTGTAAACTGTCTCTTACGAGATATATATATATACGATCGATTTCCATTGTCCATGATCCATCCTGTTGTAAGGATTGCAGTTCTCTGTCAATATTTTTATTCTTTGAGAGGAGACGTTACTCTTTTGAACAGAGGAATTGTCTTATGATGATACGTTTTATATGGAAATGGAGGATTACGAGGAAGCATAAAGAAGGAGAACTTGGAAATGGCAAAGAGATTATGATTTAATTGCAGAGGATTGCGTATTATAAAGAGAAGGATTCTCTTTAAGATTCTAGAAGACTCGGATATTTCGTTAATTATTAAAAGACAGATATTTTTGACAAAAATTTCAATATATAGTACCTGTATAAAATTGAAATTGAAAATTATAGCACGCCAAAGATTTAACGGTGATATGATATATAAATCTACGAAATATCTTTGTTCCTAACAATAGAATCCAACAATATCCTGTTAAAAATTTTCCAATCTCCCTTATATAAGATCCTTCACTAACTTACAAGCTCTCGTGATACTTAATTAAAAATAATATTTCTCCACAACTGTGACGTTTATATTTAACATACGTTTAAATATAATCCGGCCTGAAAATATCTAGGCCAAAGATAACGAGAAAAGAAAGAAAAAAGGAAAAGAGGATAAAAAGAAAAAACGATAAAACAGGAAAGAACGATTGAGCCGATACCGAAATTAATCGGCAACCAATTTACACCCCCGACAAATCTCTCTATAAACACCAATCTACACATCAGCATCTCAATTAATCTCAGACGATAATGCTTTCGATCGGGCGTCGCATATCGTTTCACCCAGGATTCCATTTAGTCGATAATAATTAATTTCGCGGAGCCGAAACCCATCTGCATACCGCCGATATGCATACGTGTACATACAGGGCCGATATTACAACAATAGATTCATGAATGAAAGTTCATCGGTTCGACCCAACCGATCCACGAGCGCAAATTGCCCCCTCTCCCCCTTTCTTTCTTTCTTTCTTTCTTTCTTTCTTTCTCTCTCCCTTTCTCCCGTCAAATCCTGTGGGAAAGGGGCGAAAGAAGGAAAAAACGAGGGATTACATTTATGTAGCATGTAGTTAATCGGGGCGCGTGCAACACGCGAAATGATTTGCGGCGTCTACTTTTAATAGCCGCAATCGAGCGTATTTATTGTCGCTGCAACGTGAAAAATTTATACCAAGGCGCAAATCATCGGCTCGTTTCAAATGCAAATGCATATATTTCCATAATACGAGTCAAGATTTTGCTTTCCAGTCAATTTTTTCAATAATCGATTAATTTAGAATTTCGATTGATACGATTGAAACGTGGTCATATTGTACATAAGTTAGTTTCGAATTTGGGGATAGAAGGAATGGAATCTTTTATCATATTCTCAAATCCTTTATATGCATCGTATATATATATGTAATCTTTTTCAATTATCGAAATTATTGAAAGGAAATACTTCAAAATATGTTTCGTATACTCGAGGTTTCGAGTATGCTTACAAACCTCGATATTGATATTTTTGTTACGGATAATGTTTACGAGTGTTTCGACGAAATACGAACGATAGCTCTTATCTCCGGATTTTACTTACGAAAAAGTTTTGTTTTCCTTTTTTCGAAACGCTATCCAGATGGGCTTGTTTATTCGTCGGTTACGATGATCGCGTGAAACCAGTTTGGAGGAGTGTACGCGATGAGTACGTCGACGAGAAAGAAGGGAGTGGATCGTAGGCCTCCTCCTCCTCCGAGAGGAAGAAATAGGCGCGTGAAGGTGTTTGAACAGTTGTGCGGTGAACCGCGACACTATGGTGGAGTTGTGCCAGAATATTACGCTATTTATAACCGCGGTTGGATATCTAGTATTCTAAGAATCTTCATTAGTAGGGATTTCTGGAGGTATGCTGCACCCGCGGTTGCGATATTTAGGAATTTTGGTTGTGTTGGAAGTTTTGTGCACGGTGTGCAGCGATGCGCAAATATTTCGATTATATAGAGGATAGAGGATAATATCTAACTATTCTGGAGGTTAAACGTTCTGTGGCAATTCGAAGTGGTTTCGTAGTATCTAAAATAAACCTAAAATATTTTTATGTTTAGTTTGATATTTTTAGAAATTTTTTAAATGGATAAACTGTAAAATAGTGTTATAGATATTTATTAAATTGTACGATAGAAATTCAGTTATTGAAATGTGTGAAATAGAGATTGAGATGGGATTATTTAGATCATTGATTGGTTATTTAATAGCAGTTTTTCTCAGAATTTGTGCATCGTGCTGATAAAATTCAAGTTAGATTTACGAATTTCAAAGCAATAGGGTGTTCTATCTATAATTTAATCTATCTTACTATAATGTTAAAGGATGTTACCAAAAGGTCAATAGGAGACTTTGAAACTTGTACTAGTCATCTTCTCGCCTCCGTATGACAGGGTTCGTACGATAAGGATTCACGATTCCCTTTAGTATCTGTCGCAAAAGTGATCCATTTACTCCATAGTATCAATAACACTATCACTTCTCGCATCGTGATATTAAAAGACGAATCGAATTTTATCGAGATTAATTTGATTACTAAAAAAAATCGAGTACTTATCACAAATTTTAATATTCTAAATTATCCGTGACTTAACTTAATTTGTTTCTTCGCCTCTCCAAACACATCTCACGTATGAATTAACATCAAATTTTCACTTTATCGATAAGACGAATTTATCTTATTCGTTTCATCCTTACTCTCCAAAGTGTTGTACTCTATTAAAGAAATATATCAATTAACTCTCTATCCTTTATATCCTTTATCAAACCTCAAAGATTATCTCTTCGAAATTTACTTGAGATTCTACGATATTTTTTATCAGAAACGTATTCGTTTCATTCCTCGAACACGAGACTCCAAGAATATTAAATCTCTCATGATTTTCTTCTGATCTACCATATATATCTACTTAAAAAATACGTTCCATCGAAATAACATATGCTATTCTATAAAGAAATATATCAATTAACTCTCTATCCTCTATATCCTTTATCAAACCTCAAAGATTATCTCCTCGAAATTCAACTTGAGATTCTACGACATTTTTTATCAGAAACGTATTCGTTTCATTCCTCGAACACGAGACTCCAAGAATATTAAATCTCTCATGATTTTCTTCTGATCCATATATATCTACTTAAAAATACGTTCCATCGAAATAACATATGCTATTCTTATTCGCAGCACATGGTGCAGACAGGCATGGCTGCGCCCTACGGTGGGGGTGTCTTCCCCCCGCCGGTGAACGGCGTAGCGGGTGTCGTGGGGGCGGCAGGGGCTGCCGGTGAGGTGAAACCACCGCCACCGGTGCCGGTGAAAGAGGACAACAGCGGCGCACCCCAACAGCCACCACCCAGCGGCCCCCAGGTCCCACCGCCGGCTGGTGCCCCACATCCAACCGCCCCCGGTGCCCCGACCGCGGCCAGCTTCAGCCCGCCCCCGCCTCCAAACGGCGTCGATCAACAGGCTATTGTGAGTTGTGCATATACATGTATTTTTTTTTTTTTTTTTTTTTTGTTATACATTACGCTTTCATTCGTCATTTTCGTCGAGATTGGTCGATACAATTGTTGTAATTGTTGTAATTGTAAAATTTGAATAGGTTTGTTTAGGTACATAAGGAGATCAATCGACGCAGAGATTAATTTGCACGCAGAGAGGAGGATGTTGATAAACGAATTTTTCATTTTTCGCAGTTAAAAGTTGACGTTGATGGGTTTTATTTTTACGAGTGTGAATAACGCGCGTTAAGACCGTTTGTGATGGTTATAAACGTCTGGTTTCGAGAAGTTATTTGTTATTGTTGGTTATTAATTGATTAAGATTTATTAGTCTAATGTTGCAATCCATTCTTGCTGGATATTAATTAGAGATTGATTACGATCGATTTAATCGAAATAATCTGCCGTTGGAATTAATTTATAATTCAGCACGTTAATTGTAAAATAATGCTCACTGAGTGAAGAATTAATTCACGAGTTAATTTTGTTTAGAATCAAATAGAAAATAAATTAATTCGTGTATTATAATGAAAAATATTTATCCATATTCTTAAAAAAGGAAAATTTCTTCTTCAAAATCGTAGAACGTATAAAAAAAAATTATCGTTGGGAAGACATCGCTCTTCTTTCCATTTCCGCGAAGAACGAAAGGTGCGAAAAAAATATGGTAATATTCCTCCATGAAAAGAATCCTCCGATTTATCAAACCGTTTCGTGTACCGCTCGTTGACATTGCCGGTACGAGGTGGGGAAACACTCACTTCCGGCGGTAGAACGCCGCGACCCCGAGGTCGCATCGATAGACGCGCTCAAACCGCGCTTTCAACTCCGGCCCAAGTAGCTCTTGGATCTAGATTCTCCTTGTTCCATCACCTTTGCCGTACACCGACAAAAGTTCACGTAATCGACGCCATGTCACGTCTACGACGAGCCTCGATGATTCAAGGCACGTACGAACGAAAGTAGAAGAGGAATAAGGGCTCCATAGAAAGTTCCATAGAATCGAGGCAGGGTATTTGCGAAAGTTCCGAAAATTTCGTCGAATCAAGGGATGAGGGATGATGAACTCACGAACGAATGGAATTCGATTCGATTAAATCTCTGGAGAAGTAGAAATTTAATATAATGTATTTTTCTTCTCGTAATTTTTATCTCGTTGCAATTTTAAACGTTATAAAATCCTTCCCTGCCAATTTTCGATTCCATTCATTTCAACTTAATAAACTTCAAATTCGAAATAGAAATTCACACGATAATATAATAATACCCAGCTACGTTTATATACGAGACGTATATAAGGGGTTAAAATTGCAAGATCCTCTTCCTCCGTAGTTTTGAAAGAAAATGAAGGATGACGCTTGGCTCGAGTCACCCCTCGATTTACAGCCCCCGTTACTCGTTCGTGTCAAAGAAATTCTGCCAGAGAAGGCAGAACAACTGTTCCTTCCGCATGATTTTTATCGACGCGATCAAACGAATACCCCCCCTGTTTCGCTCTTTCCAACCCTTCTCGGAGCTCGAACACCATTGTAAACGCGATCGAAATTTATTTGAGCGCGCGATAACTCGTCGTCGGATGGCGTGCGCGCCTGGCAATTAGCGCGACTCATAAAGCGGCCTAATTAGCCGCGCTAATTAAAGTAAATCCGTTCGTTAATTCGATTTACTAGACGGCTGACTGGATTCTGGCTGAGGGAGGGAGGGAGAGGGTAATTCTTTGCTACCACGTTAGTTAGACACGCTCGACAACAGCTTTTTAATTAAAAGGCCCGGTAAATCTTTGCGAATCTCGTCTGGTTTGGTTTGAATCGGTGGGAAAAAATGGAGGAATTAGAATGAAAGATTTCAAGGATATTTTTTTTTTTTTTTTTTGAATTTAGAAAAATTAAAGGATAAATTTTTTGGCGGATGTGTTTTTATCGGAGCTTTCAAATTTCCCGCCTAATATCAGAACGCGAATGAAATTGATTTTTCTTTTCGTTTCCTGAGAATGATTATCGAACTATCTCTGACAATATTGAAGCACATAAAATGGAGGGATTAGAATGAAAGATTTCAAGGATATTTTTTTTTTTTTAAATTTAGAAAAATTAAAGGATAAATTTTTTGGCGGATGTGTTGGAATTATCGGAGCTTTCAAATTTCCCGCCTAATATCAGAATGCGAACGAAATTGATTTTTCTTTTCGTTTCCTGAGAATGATTATCGAACTATCTCTGACAATATTGAAGCACATAATTTAATTTCAAACGTAATTAATAATTATGATTTGTAAAAAAAAGAAACGGACGATCCTTCGATGAAAAATTGGAATTTTTTCCGCAACTAAAACGCGTTTAAACGTCAACAATTTTATCCAACATTTTCCACGCGAATCAGAGACAAGTGTTCAATTAATTTTCCAATTCGAAATACATACCACTGACTATCTAAAACGTTCTAAAATATCCCCCAACCTTCGAATCCTTCGATTGCCATTTCGATTCCGCAGTTTCCAATTTCGAATTCCAAGTTCCACCACTCGACAGTTTCCACACATGCGGGGGAATCGGCGTGGAGGGAGACAAGGCCCTCCCCTACCCTGATCTGAGCAGGGGCCGCGAATTATCGTGATCACGGGACAAGAATCAGGACGTACGATTCGGAGGACAGTTTGTCGGACGGTCGTATCTAATTAACCCAGGCGTACGGCGGGCACGCGGACCATTTTGGACACGGTTGAGCCAAGCGTGAAGAGTTTCGAACAATGTCGTGGTTCCGGACGACGTGGCCGCTTTGTCCGTTCCCTCAATTATCCGGTCCCGGTTAGTCACCGACTCGTAAAGCCGCATTTCGTTCTTCTGCGACCATTTTGCGCATGCAATCCCCTGTTCAACGTTTTCAAGAAAATCTTGTAATTGTTCAAAATGCGAAAGTTGAGGAATCCGAGGAGGAACTCATATTTTTTTTGTTTCGAGGTTCAAACTTTTGATTCGATTGAGCGTGTTTAAGAGTTGGAAACAGTCGAAAGGTAGCTCTGTTTTGTCGTTTATTTAAAAAATAAATAAATAAAATAAAGTGAGATTTTATTTGAAGGAAGAAGGTAGAAGAAGGAAGGGTTTAATAATTATTGCAAGCTTGCAATTGAAAGACTAAAAGATAAATAGACTCGTTGTGGAACTTTGACTTCCATTCTTCTGAAAAGCTATCTCACAAAAAGTTTTTGTTCGCAAAATTAAAAGTGGTACGAATTTTTCGTAAAAATGTCTCTATTTTGGAAACGAGGAAGATGATTTCGCGGGGTAGAATTTCAAATCTGTTTTGAAAATAGCTTGATTCCATCGAGAATACCTAAGGAGTAATCGTAAGAGATTTTGATTTGAAAAATGTGTTCACGAAATTCACTGCATCCAAAGATCTACTTAAGGATTAGGTGATTTTGGAGATGGACTTTTGAAGTCGAAGAACCTTGAAAATCTGTCCATGGAGGAAGCTATTTGGGAATCTTATTTTTCAAGGAGAGATATCTATCTATGGGATTTCAACTGCTGTAGAACTGTTTAACGTAAAATTCGAGAAGTATTTCAGGAATTTTCATTCTTGAAAACTTCCTTTATTAAAAATCTACTTTCAATTCCGAAAAAATACGGAATCATTTAACGGTATTACATCCAATTTCATTATACATATGTTTGTTACTGCTATATTTTCAAAGACAGTATATGTAATTTCATTCGTATCTTGCTTAAGAGGAAATTAACGTAATGTAGCTTAAACACGTTTAAAATTAATTCCATAACTTGCATAATTCTCAAATGGAGAGTACATTCGAAATGGTCTATATACGCAATCGTCTATAGAAAGCGCTTAATTCCGGAATATTCATTGTTATAGAACCAGAGTTCTACAATTTATCTACATCTCATAATGGACCTGCAACGGGACAAACAAATTATACAATTCATGTACCGTGATAGAAATTCTCTGATTCTCTCTAATTCTGACATCTCTATAATTCGGATAATCAAATCTAATGTGTATGTATGTGTGTATGTGTATGTATAGATACATTAATATGAATTCATTTGACAATTAATCGATAACTAAAAATTTTCTTTCAATAAATTTATTACACACTTCCAATCCAGATTAAAAATCTTTTTCCTCTTTCTTTCGTAACCAAACACATAATTTAAATAGATGAATTCCACTTGAGTTAAAAGTTAGTTAAAATTTCATTCGATAATCCATCTCTATATCCCGAAAACTTAACAACTTATTCTAAAGTTTCTTCTTTCTTCATTCTACAATTCACTCTACGATATTTCTAATCTTGAAATATGTTAACTATCGTGCGTTCAATAAATTGGAAAAGAGGAAAAACAAATTCATCGAACCTGCCTCATCTTTCGAAACCTGCCTCGTCTCGTCCAAGAAGAGCGCATTATCACGGGGCGAAACACGGCGGGCGAGACAGGAGGAGCGCAGTTTTGCCTCACAATGCCAAAAGTCGAGCGCCCATTGAAATCTGCTGGTTGGCGCAAATTAAAAGTTCCTTTTGAACGAGCACGGTGAATGGGCTCCCATGGAGCCGTCGCTCTCCTTTCACGAGGGGGGGTTCGCTTCCAGACGAATCCAGTTTTCATCAAAGTTTCTTTCCGGATTGCCGATGCCTCGAAAATTTTTCGATTCGCAACCTTGTTAACCGATAACCGACGTCTCGAGGATAGTTCGAGTGTTTCGATGGATTTTCCATCCACGTGGAATTATCCACTCCGCTCCATCCCTTGGAGGAAAGGGATTCTCGAGTTGAGAACACTGTTTCTGAGGTTTTCTGGAAGAGGTGGGGAAAGAGATTAATTTGGTGATGAGAGATAGTCGTTTGGAAAATGGATGGCTCTGGTAATTTCGATTTTCGGGAGAAGGTTTTGGAAGGATTTTCGATTTATGTCGGGGATAATTTTGAAACTGGCGGTTTCGAATTTAATTAGGATTCTGTTTACGATCATTTTCGTTTCAGTAATTTTCTAATTACAAACGTTTGAATTAATATCAGGTGTATGATGTGTGAAATATGTAAGGGATATTCTGGGATATACGCGTTCATATTAATTAATAAATTTTGTGTCGAGATGAAGGAAAGATAACAAGGAGAGGATCTTTGGAAACTTTGAAGATACATCGTTACAGAGGCAAAAGTTCATCATTGAATTGAATAGAATTTTAATTGAAACGATTATTTAATTGTAGGTTTAAAAATCACAATCTAGGTTAGCTTGTTACACAGATATTTATAAATCGATAAACTATATAAACGTTTGAGAAATTTTAGCAAGATAATATCTGAGTTTACGAGCATCTTCGTAAACAAATAAAATGGTAACCCAAAAAGATACTTGCCGATACCTCGAGTGTAAGAAGAAAACATATAAATCTCTATTTTGCGGGGAAGAGAGGAAGGAAACGAAAACTTTTTCGAATAAAAGATTGTTCAGATTGTTCTTCCTCCATCAGCGAATTCATAAATTTAACACGAAATTGGTTGGTCTAACTGAAACTGGGAAGACTGATGACGTTTGTTCTTTGGTTCTAAGGTCTTGCCTCTTGTGTCAGATCCCAGTGTATTTTTGCGGCCACTCCTTTAAAAGGAATTGAGAAGGAAACAAATGACCCGCAGTTTTCGGGAACGATAAATTCCTGCCAGGGTGGAGAGAAATCCCTATTATTTATGTCAGCTGAAGGACCTTCGCCCGGAGAATCTACGAAACGTTTCTCCAGGGTTAATGGTACTCGATCGTGAAATCTCTTGCGGTCGAAAAATACACCTTTCCCACCCTTCCAGACTCTCCTTATATTTTCAAACAGAGATGTAAAAATCACATTCGTTTATCCTCTTTGTATTTACTTTAAATTTATGTAAAAAGAAAATTGCAGAAAATTCTAAATATTTTTTTTTTTTTAGATTTCATTGAAACCTCTTTGAAAATATTTCATATTTCTTTGCTTGAATATAAATCTGTAAATAGAAAAGAAAAGCGTTGATATTAAATATCTATATTCAAGAAATAATTTTCAAGGGAAAAGAGTACGGTATCGTGGCTTCTCATTCGTCGAATTGAAACGTCATTCGTAAAATTGTGTCGCACGAATGGTGGAAAGTATTATGGATGTAAAAATTGAGAATTCATCTACGATTCTTTTATTTATTATTATTTATTATTTTATCGATCTTCCAAATATATATATATATATATATATAATTTTCATCATTTCAAGAATCGATTCTGTTCGAACAAATTTTAAATAGAAAAAAAAGTAAATATACAATATTATAGAAAAAAATCCTCAAAGAAGAGAGATCCGATGGAAGGAACATTGAAAGAATAAATAACAAGATTTCCATTCCTAAATCTACAGAATTTTTTATCGAGAGAAGTTTTAAAAGACAAAGTTCTTCTAATCCACCACGAAACAAGCTACCTGGGTCGCACAACACGTCTGCAAGCATATCGAAATCCTTCCTCTTCGAATCCTTAATCTCTGCTAGGATCGGTGGATAGTGGACAATGTCGAAGCTCGATGAATAATTCGTGAGTTTCCCACGGTGAGAAAAGGAGGCAAGGCTATAGGATCCCTCCCCATCTAAATTTCATCGACCATCTATCACGTTCTTGGACGGTGAGATTAATTCCTTCCTCGATGAGACGTTTGAGCACCACTCGATTTGTTATTCGCGAGGAAATTAATTGCCAAAAAAAGGAAAAGTATTTTCAATATTTTTTTCTTCACTCATCCATGTGTGTCCTATTTCGATAAAAATTTGGCAATAGATATTCCCACGTCGTTTCATCTTACTCAAAGAGATCCTCAAATTGTTAATTATAATATATAAAGCGAAAAGATTAATAATAATAATTAATAATCGTGTACCATCGTACACGATTTTCCGTGGTGGTTGGTTGAAACGTGTCGTTTAGCTAAGCGTTTATTAATAGTCGGTCCTCGCGGTCGAAATCGCTTTAGTTCCAATGGATAGTTGGTAGTGTAGAGTAGTAACAGACGTGATAAAGTTGAAGGTGGTATTCAGTAGCGAGGGTAGAAATTCCACGCAGCGGCAGCTGCGTCTGACTATACGCGGCGTGTGTTCACTTAGCCTCGTTAGTGGCGCAAGCGAGATAAGGTCGGCCATGCGGCTGACCACTTACAGCCGTCTCTACTTGCGGCTTCTAGTATCCGGACATCTGGAATGCTAACGATCGCGTCTCACCCTCCCGTGCCAAACTCTCGCCTCGTTTTTTCTTTTCTTTTCGTTTTCAACCCAATCATTTGGAGAATTCAATTACAATCTGAACGCGAAAATTTCTCGATTATTTTTAACGATGCGAGGAAAATATTAATTTAAAAAAAAAAAAGTAGCTTTGAAATTTCTTACAAAATTTTACAACTCGATCCAGCACCAAAGGAAAAAAAAGAAAAAGATCTCTAACGATTTCTCGAAAAACAATTAACAAGAAAATCTTATTTCAATTGTGACTCCTTTTGATAAAAATCTTTTCTAATAAAATGTAAAATAAAGATAATGAAAATTCGATGGGGAAGCTGAAAGACCAATCTCGAACACACGAGGTGCTTTTTAATGCTGACACGATCCTTGATCTTCGACGACAGTCGGAGGTGTTTCAGGCAGCAGTGGCGGCCGCGGCAGCAGCGGCCGCGGGAGGCGGTGGCCAGCAACCCGCCCCCACACCCGCCGGCAACGAGAGCAACCCCGAGGGCGCCGTCGAGGGTAGCGCCCTGGTACCTGTCACTTCAGGTGCAACCACACCTGCCACCGCAACACAGGGTACAGACCTGAAAGGTCAACCGAAACGCCTTCACGTCAGCAATATACCTTTCCGCTTCCGAGACCCTGATCTCAGGGCAATGTTTGGGGTAAGTTTCAACTTTGAATTATTTATCTTTCATTTTGCAAAAAGTTTAACGAGTGATTGTGTTGTATTATCGTGGGGGGGAGTGAATTAATTATTCGTTCATAGGTACGGAAGTGGTAGTTGAAAGTTTTGATGTATATATCATAATAATAATAATAATAATAATAATAAATAATAATTATTCCTTATTATTCATTTTGATATTAACTCATTAAGGACCAATTATATGTTATATGTTAATATTTTTTGACTTAATTCTGTAATTTTTGAAGAAATTAAATTGTTCAACTTGTATGAGATATATTATTGATCGTATTTCTTTCTTTCTTTTTTTCTCTATCTTTGATTTGTGCAAAGTATCTATAAAGTTTCTATAAAGTTTAAAGTAATTGAAATTGTGACAAAGTATCTTTCTTAAATCATTAACAAATATTTTTCTATCTCATTTTTCTTTTTTCTGTTTTTTAAAAAATATATAACGTTACGTTCGAATAAAATCACGGTATTATTTCCCCCCGTTGGTCCTTAATGGGTTGAACACGATGATGACACGTTCTCGAGACAACGTTGCTTTCTGTTTTCCAGCAATTCGGGCCGATCCTCGACGTGGAAATCATATTTAACGAAAGAGGAAGCAAGGTAAGCTCACGTCGCCCTTAGGCTGCGAGCCACCCCTGTCAACCCACCCCTGAGAATTACAGTTAGACTTAAGCCACACACATACACATACACGCACACACCTACCCACACACATACCCACACACACACACACACATACACACACATGCACACAGCCGCGTCCCAGGGCCACGAAATCCTCGTCGCCAGGATGGATCCGCGCTCGAAATCTCTCACCGACCCTCCCCTTCGTTTCCACGCCCGACGTTAATCCAACCGCCACCATCCCCTCCCCTGAAACTCCCCCTCCTCGCTCGATTCAACGCCACCACGAGTTTCTCGCTCGAACAATCCCCGAGAGTTTGGTTCGAAGGAAGGACACGAGGAACACCAGAACCGATCCACCGGAGTTTCTCGTCGGTCGAACAACCTTTTTATCCGCCTAACTTTCGCAATCTTCTCACCTCCGTGCCCTCTTTCATTCCTTCGATTCACCTCCTCCCCTCCTTATTCCCTCGTAGCCGCAATCATCGCGCGGACGTGACCAGTCTCTCTCCCCATTTTCCAGTGGAGAAACTTTTTCGAAAAAAAAAAAAAAAGAAAGAAAGAAAGAAAGAAGGAAGGAAGGAAGGAAAGAAAGAAAACTCGGACGCGAGGACAAGCCTGGTCACGAGGACGCTCACTGGGACCCGTAATCTTTCGTTCCAGGGGACGCAGCGTCACGACTGAGGAGGAAGGGGAGGATTGTTCCATCTTCCTTCTGGAAACTTTTTTTTGTTCGAGGAAAAAGGGGAGGGAAGGCAGGTGTTTTTTTTTTTTTTTTTTTTTTTTCGTCTCTTTAGAGAGAAAGAAAAGTGAAAACTGGGTCGTTACGCTGCGTCTCCTCGAAACGTGCGTTCTTTTGCAGCGCGATGGCGACGCTCACGTCGTCCAGCTTCGAGATATCGGTCCCAGAAGTGGTGTAAAACGACACGGTGCCATTGTCGACCCGTTCTTCCGTGCTAAGAATCTTCGACTGATCTCCGTGTAATCCCGAAACGAGAGAGAGAGGGGGGGAGGAGAGTTTATCGCGGCTTCCTCGTCACGCTGCTCGTGCTCGAGACGAGCTTCTAGGATTAAAGGGTGGAAGGCCTTGGTTTTGAAAATCGGGGGATGAAATATCAAGGGAATCTTGGGGAGATGAGACGTTGAGATTGCTTCTCCCCGTGTGGTTTGGACGATTCTCGTTAGTCAGGATTGTCCAGAAAACGTTTCTCGAGGAGAGTTGGTAGGTAGGAGACGATATTCGATCCGAAAGATTATTTCGTCGATCCTGGACGATTCTTTTGTTCGATTTTTCTCGTGGAAGAGAAAAGATAGAGAGTTTCGATGAGGAGGAAGCGTTAAGAGTTCGAAATTCGAAATCATTCTGTTTTAAATTTAACGATTTCGATTCAGTTTATTGTTTAACACTTTTTATTTTTTAGAAATTTTGTATCTTGAAGTTTCAGTATTCAAAGATTCTGATTTTCTCCTCTCCAAGTATCCGAACTCTTCACACCTAGATTATTTTATCAACGAAATACAAGAGCATAAAAAGATCGAGGAATAATCACAAGAAAATCCTTCCAATTATTTAGATAATCTCTCGATCTCAAATGATCAAACAAATCTCCTTCGACAATTCCTTCTCCAATCATCAAGCCAACTTCTCAAGATAATCGAACTCGAAGTTATTATATATCGATATCCATTCAAAATTCAACGATTCTAATTTAATCTCCCTCGAGCATCCTAGATCCATCCTTCCAAGAGATGAAATGAAATGAAATCAAAACTTCGAAAGGTTGTAGATTTAATCGTGGTTCGTTCGTGCATGGGAAAATCTAAGCTTGCAGAGGAGGAGGAGGAGGAGAAGGGAGGGAGAAAGGAGAAAAGAAAATTTAAAATGAATGTAGGAGGGGGAGTGCGCGAAGGAGAAGTTTGAAATGCAAATAGGTTTCAATATGGATGACAGCGGTCTGGATAAGATCCGCAGTAATACATCGTGCCGACAGCCGGCATCCGGCGAGCTTGCATATTCAGCGTCTTTGCGTCAAGTACACTCAAGTGCACTTCATCAAGCTCCCGCGGTACCACTAACCCAATAGCATCGGCTGCTGACGATGTCACGCACGCCTGTCTATTGTCCACCGGATGATCGAGCCCCCATCTTCTCGTGAAAACAAATTTCTACTTCTGATGACCATCTTTTGATTAACACAAACCAATCAAGCTTTGATCGATATAAAGCTGCGTCGATATTCAAATTTCGTTATCTTCGATAATTTTTATCTACGATATCTTTCGAGTTGCGGAAATTTTAATTTCGATATATCTATGATCATACACGTGTAAAAATGTTGATTTAAAATTCTAAAATGGATCGTACTAGAACAAGACGATGTAGACACCTTTTATTAAAAATTCTCAACGTCTCTGTGATTTTTAAATTACAAACGATAATATAAGAGAAACTTTTACCTCCAATTTTTTAATATTTTTCTATCCTATGAATCAACCGAATAAAATCAAATGAGAATATTTCCCTTTGTATTGCAAAATACTTTTACACTCGTTCGATACGGACGCGACATTGTTCTCTGAAATTTTCTTTCCCCCCTCTTTCGAACAATATTATTCTCAACTCGGAGGATTCCACTCCATTCCGATTCTTTTTCGTTCTCCCCTGCTCGTTCAAACGTTCCGTAATTAACTCCGATTTCCACCGTGGAAAACTTTCATATCGGTCGAGTAAAAAGGAAACGAAATCCCCCGTTACCAAATTACCCCGCTTCGCTCGAATTCGGATTAATGAAAATATTCATAACGGGAAACAATGCACGCACTTGAAAGATTTCGAAGAAATATGAAAAGTGTTAGATGTGTTGGAATCCAACCCGTTCCCAAACGGAGTTAATTGGAGTTGGAAAGGATAAAATCTCTTTGTTCCCCGCCCCATAAAACTTGGACAAAACTTTCGTCGAGATTATGAAATCGCGCGGAAAGTTTCTTCGCGTAGCAATAACGAGGGGCGAAAGAAAGAGGATTCTCAACGGCCTCTTGCAACGGCCATCCCTACCCGAGTAATTAGATCAGAAATCCATTATTTTGAACGACCTCGAATAATGATTGCTCGAAGACGGTCTACGATCTCTTGGACTGAGTTTCCGCCACTCGAGGACGGAGTTCTCGACGATCGTGGAAGTTGGCGCGATGGATAGAGCTTCTCCATATTCAAGCTCGCTTTTCACCGAGCGCTTCTCCTGAATTTCATTGTTACTACTCGAATAATCAGAATACCCATCTCGATGTTTTCGTATCGATGTTTCGAGACTAGATCCTTTTACTTTTGCGAAGGAAACGAAGATTGTTTTGGAGGAAGAAGAAGAGGTTATATTATTTGAAGATTTGATTTTCATGATTTTCTGCATTGCTAGATTTTTCTTTTTTTTTTTTTTTTTCTTTAACGATTTAGTGTTTGATTCGATAAAGTTAAATATAATAAAGCTAAATCAGTTCTTGTGCAGATTACAAATATTACGTAAATTTCTCGTACTCGTTTTATTTCTTAAACAAGTAGGAATACACAATGGAATTAAAATGAACTTTCATTCTTGTAAGAAAAATTAAATCCATACTGAATCTTCGGAAAATTTCCCATTCATTAATTGTAAATATCCTCGTCGCAAGATCGTATCGATCTTTATTACGAGATAAATTTAAATCTTCGATCGAGCTATTCCTATTTCGCTGTTTAAAAATCAAATTCGCGCAAGATCCCGCGCAATTAAAATCTTGGGAACTCGAGCATAAAACTTGTTCCACGTTACAACGTCGATCAAAGATCCCTAAGACTCTCATCAAGCTAATAGCCACTCGAACGGACGAGCAATCAATCAGAGCCTCTAATTGAATGAAGGAGGGCGACAATCGGTAATGCTCGCCTATTAGGTCACGGTGGAGAGGTCTATTTCGATCAGAGAATCCTGACAGGAAGCGCGGCTCGCATCCGTCATTGGAACAACCAATCCCAGGAGGAATAATAAGCGTGTTCCAGTTACTGAAGAGAGGCTGGAAGAGGATTAATTAAACTCGTTCGCGATGGTTATCCCCGTGCCGCACACGTGTCTTTTTTTTTTTTTTTTTTTTTTTCCTTTCATTCTTCTTTTCTTCCTTCTTCCGCCCTTAGGGTGGTCGTGATTGGTTTCACGGTATTCTGGATAAAGTGATAAAGGATCACGCTCCAGTTTGTACGCGAAGAACTAGTTTCTCGGATCAATCGATGCAATTGTTGCGATTCTTCTGAGTGAGAAAGAGAGAGAGAGAGAAAAGAATTTTTTCGACGACTAGGAGTTCGTCACAGTTATGACGATTCGTGTGATAAAAGTGTTGGAACGTGATGGAATTTAATGGAGACTTGGATATACGTAGAGTGTAATAGGAAATTTTAAGAATTGATTCTTATCTTTATTGGGATTTTTTTTTTTTTTAATAGGATATTAAATTTTGAATAGTCTTGTTAATTTAAAAATTTGCTTCGTTCTTATAGTATAAATAAAGTTTAACAATTTAAAATGAAGAAAAGAATTTTGAACGTTGATTTCATTAAAAATTGTTCGTTAATATTCTATTCGAAGTTAAAAAGATGTTCAAAGAGAAAGTGATAGAAGATCTTCTTGTCATTTATTTTTTCTATGAACTTCAATGAAAGATCTTTTTAATTGAGATACTCAATTAAAAATATTCATTCTCCTACATTTTATCTGTACGTAAAATCTTCTCAATAAAAACACGAAAAATGATCAATCTACGTCACAATCTTAATTTACAATCTTAATTCAATTCTACGAAATTCCAAAGAAAAATTACACCTCGAGAAACAAATATTTCAATATTCCAAAAGGATATCAACGACGAAATTGGAGGAAAATTTCGAAGAAATTTACGTGATAGCTGCAAAAGTCTTCGAGAAAGGTCGAGAAAGTCGTTCGATAGGGAAC